GGCCAGAGCATTCACATGGAGGTTACAAGATTATTTACATGAATTAGTCATCTCTTTCTACCATGTGGGTCCTGGGGATTGAATTTAGGTCTTCTTGCTTGACAAAGAGTGTCTACATACAGAACTATTTCACTGGTGGATGTAGACTTTAGATAGTAACTAATTTAAATATTCATGCTACAGTCAGAGAAGTTTGGTAGCATGGAACTAAATACTAAGCAAATATTTGATGATAATAAGAAATTGCTATTTATATTTTGAGGTTTGGTGATATTATTGTTTATTTTTTAAAGGATCCTTTAGACATACATTGGAGTTTTTCCTGAATAAAAAAATACTTGGATTTCCTCACAATATGACAGTATGAGCAAGAAAGTGGATTGGGCAAAAAATTAAACAAGACAGTTTATGAATGCAACTGCCAAGGATGGGAGATATAGCTTTATCCATGTGAAAATCATGATTGCATTCTCTTTCATGGGTTGGATTTTTCCAACATTTTAAAATAAGAAGTTAGTAAAAGAAGGTAAGAGTAGCACTTGAAGCTGAAGGAAAGAGCACTCAGGAGAAACATGACTGGAAAACTTCAGAGACTGTGCTTCAGAGCAGGAAGTAGGGGAGGAGAGGAACTGAAGAGGGTGTAAGTCAGGGACAGGGAAGGTGTGTTTGCAAACTTGCTTGACATCTGTGATGTTGACACTTCTCTATTATATCTGTGAAGTATTTAGAAATCTGTTTTTTAATTTAGTTTTAAACATTTTAAATAAAATAGAATTACATCACTTACCACCTTCCCTTTCCTCCCTCAATCCGCTGCCAGGTCCTCTCCCTCCAACCCTCATATTCTCCTCCTGCCAAATTGATAATTTTTTTCTCTTATTATTATTATTAGTAGTAGTATGTATGTATGTATGTATGTATGTATGTATGTATTATGCGTGTGTACATATGTGTTTATGTACATTTATTCACAAATACATAAATATAATCTGCTGAGTCTATTTTGTCATTTGTATATGGTTTCAGGGCTGACCATTTAGTATTAGATAACCAATGAAGGGGGTCCATCCCTAGTAGAGGCTAGCTAATTCTCTCTCTCAGCAGTCATTGGTTTCCTGTAGCTCTATGTCTAAAGGGGGACCTCATGTAATTTCCCGTTCTGCATTAGCTTGTCTATTGGTATTAGCAACTGCTTATATAGGAATTTCTATGAGATATGACTTCACAGCAGACTTCCTGGTGTTCTGACTTCTACAATCGTCCTCTGTATACTTGAGCTGGGAGCTGTGATATTGATGTGTCCATTGGGGCTTGGTTCTACACTCTGTTGATCTCTGCATTGTGTCCAGTTGTGGTTTTCTGTGATTGTCTCCATTTACCATAAAATGCTTGTGTGATGAGAGGGTGGTAGATACATTTATCTGTGTGTATAAGAATAAGATTTACAATGAAGTAAAGACATATGCTCCTCTAGCAAAGTGGTGGTAGTAGATTCTTTTCCTAAGTCCATGACCACCATACCCCCATGAATCTGCCTAGGTTTCCATTACCAAACATACCATAATTTCCCTCCTATTGATTGAGTCTCACGTCGAACATATGAGTGCCATTTACTGTACCTTTATGGATTATCATTGTCATGCTGGTCATTGTTGTGTTTCATAGGTGTTGCAACCAGATGGGACTACTAATTACATTGTACCCTTGGCAGCTTGTGTAGTATTTCTGGTACCATGGATGGGAGAACACAAAAAGGAGGTTTTCTTGTTAGATACAGCTTGAATCTTTCAAATCATTTGTCCTAATTTTGCAGTGTCTTCTGAAATAGGAGCTCACCTTCAACCTCTGAGGGGTAAACAGTCCAACATCCATAGTATGTATTTTTCTTGCTAGTCACTTTAAGTACCCTAAATCATTCAAAGAGAGGTTTTGTATGCCTGTTACTAGGATTTTTTGTTGTTGTTGTTAGTCAATGACTCTTGTAGGGTGTGTTGTTAGCCCAGGTGGCATAACTTCCATTAAGGTTTGTGTTTGTGTGTGTGTGTGTGTGTGTGTGTGTGTGTGTGTGTGCATATGCTTATATGTATTGTATATACTCTTAGGTAAGTATAAGTTGAAGATTTATCAAACAACTAGAGCCTGTTTTATTTGTCCATCACTCTTCCTTCTGTTTTTATTTCCTTCTCTCCATTTCATTTGGAATCCCTCCATGATTTAACATTTCCCATTTCATATAACCTAAACCCTGTTATTCCTCTCTTAAGCCAACTCCCTACCTCCTGGAGCCTATGTTCCCTTCATGCTTTTCTGGTTTCTCCATTTATTCTAGGTTATATCCTCACATCTGAAGCTTCAGAGCTAGAAAACATAGCTGAATATATACATTGAATGTTTGTCTTTCTGAGTCTAGGTTATCTCACTCAATATAATCTTTTCTACACCAATTCACCTTCAAGTTTCATGACTTCATTTTCCTTTACAGTTGGGCATGCCATTGTATATATGCACCATCATCTTTATCCATTTATGTGTTGAAGGTCAGTTAGGATTTTTTACATTTCCTGGCTATTCTGAATAATGTGACGAAAATTATGACTGAGAAAGTGTCTGTGGAGTATGATGGTGAATCCATTGGTCATATGACAAGGAATGGTATAACTGGGAATGTGATGAATTCATTTTTTTAGTTTTGAGGATTCTCCATACTAATTTCCTGAATGGTTACACCAAATTCATTCTCACCAAAAGTGAATAAGGGTCCCTCTTCCTTCACCACCTCACCAGCATTTGTTTGAGTGGTCTTATTGAACTTTATTGTTCTGACTGGATAAAATGAAATATCAAAGTGGTTTTAATTGGCATTTCCCTAATAGCTAAGGATGATGAACCCTTTTTGAGCTAATTCTTATCCATTTTATGTCTTCTATAAGGGACTCTCTGTTTCGATCACAAGCTGACGTTTTAACTGAGTCATTTATTTTCCTCCTTAACTTATTGGTATCTGAGTTCTCTATATATTCTGAATACTACCTCCCTGTCACATGTATAACTGGCAAAGATTCCCTTCCATTCTGTGGGCTTTCTCTTCACCAGGCTGGTTGTTTCTTTAATTGTCCAAAAGTTGCTTATTTTCATAAATTCTCACTTGTCAATTGTTAGCCTTAATTCTTGACATGGGGTCCTATTCATAGAGTCCTTTCCTACACTTATAGCATGAAGGCTACAGCCTATGTTTTCTTTTACCTGTGTCAGTGTTTGGGGTTTCAAACTGAAGTTTTTGATCCACTTGGATCTAATTTTCATAAAGCATGACATATACAGGCCAAATTTCATTCTTCTGCATGTTTTCCCAGCATCATTTGTTGAAGATGCTATCTGTCCTTTCAAATTGTTATAGTTATGAATCCTCATGTTTGGGACTCATAAATCATTTTATTCCATTGGTCTGCATGCATGTTTCTGTGTGAGTATAAAATTGGTGTTGTTACTATATCTCAGTGATTTCTCTTACAGTCTGGACTGTTTTAGCTGTCCAGGATGTTTTCTGGTTCCATATGAATTTTAATTTTTTTCTATTTACCTGAAGAATGTTGTGGGTAGTTTGATTGGGAGTTCAGTGACTCTTTCAATGGCTTTTGCTAGGGTGATCATTTCCACAATATGAGCATCAGAAGTCTTTCCATTTTCTGGTGTTTTTCTCAATCTCTTTTCTTCAGAGATTTGAGGTTTTCATTGTAGAAGTCTTTCACTTCCTTGGTTAAAGTTACTCCAAGATATTTTAGTGTCATCTATTCTAGTGTAAATTGGATTGTGTCCATAATCTCTTTCTCATTGTGTCTATATAGAAAAGCTACTTGTTTTTGTAGGCTGATTTTTCACCCTGCAACTTTGCTGAACTTACTATTTCTAGAAGTTTGTTGGTGGGATGCATTATTCTCTTACGTATAATATTATACTCTTTACAAATGGGAGCAATTTGACATATTTTTTCCTATTTGTATGCCTTTAATTTCCTTCTCTTGCTTTTTTGTTCAGCCTAAGGCTTCCAGTACTATATTGAAAAGGAATAGGGATAATGGACAGACGTGTCTTGTTCCTGATTTTAATGGGGTTGCTTCAGGTTTTTCTCCACTTAGGATAATGTTGGCTGTGTGTTTGCCACATATAGCCTTTATTATGTTAGGTATGTTCCCTCCAGTACTACTCTGTCTAGAACTTTTATCATGAAACTTTATTGGACTTTGTTAAAGACTTTTTCTTCATCTATTGAGATGATCATGTGATTTTTTATCTTTAAGGCCATTTATAGGATTTATTATATTTATTTACTTATATATGTTGAGCCCATCCTTCATTTCTGAGACAAAAAAATAAAGCTACCTTTAACATGGTAGGAGAGCATTTTAATATGTGTTTGTATTCTGGTTTCTAGTCTTTTACTGAGGATTTTTGCATCTATATTCATCAGTCTACAGTTTTGTTTTGTTTGGTTGGTTGGTTAGTTGGCTCTTTTTGTATGTGTCTTTAGCTAGCTAAAGTTTAGAGTAATACTGGCTTCATAGGACAAGTTTGGGAGTGACCCTTCTATTTCTAGGGGTTGTTTGTTTGCTTGTTTTATTCAGAGTTTAAGGATTTTTTATAGAAGCTCTTCACTAAATTTTCTATATCTCATGGACAGTTTGTTCTAAATCTCTACTCCAGAAATGCAAACATAGTCTTGCACTGCTTAATCACAGAGTTATATTTAAAGAAGTTCACAATTGTCAGTTTTGTCACTGTAAAACTTAAGTGCACCCATACAAATACAGGTCCCACAGCCCACCACACACCCAAACTCTCTGATACTTTCTTCATAAATTCCAGAATAAACTAATCCTACTTTGGACCATAGTGACCAAACCTCAAGATTAAATCAAGCACAATAGGAAATAGTAGAGTAAAAAATGCATGAGATTACATAAATCTGCACATTATTTACAATAAATTGCTTAACACATAAGTGAAGAAACATAGTCATTTATTTACTGAATACGATTTAAAAATAACACTGTGAATAGCAAGCCCAATAACATGGTTATGATGATTGGCCTTAATTATCAACTGGTGGGATTTAGAAGACATAGGAGACTCCTCTCTATCAGTGTCTGGGAGGGCATTTCCAGAGATGATTAACTGAGTGGGGTAGAACAGACTTCAAGGTAGGTTGGCCCCTTCTAGTATGTGCCAAAATATAAAGAAGACCAAGGAAAATGCAATGTGCACCTGTCTACCTTTGCTTATTCCCAAGTGGGTACATCTATTGCTACTGCTGCTGTGACTTAATACGTGCCACAGAAGTTCATGTGTTGAAATGTAATGTCTTTTAGGAGGTGTTAGGAGCTTAGAACCTTTAAAGAGGTGAGACCTCTTGGAACATTCTTAGATCACTGGGGCAGATGCTTTCAGAGGAATTACAGTCACTATTCTGAGGACACTGAGCTTCTTCCTAGTTGAGTTGTGATAAGAATGAGACTAAGTTCTGAAAGCTCCCTGGCTCCCTGCTTTGTCAATTGATTTTTCCTTGCCATGTATACAACCTTCCATCCACCAAAGCCAAACTGATGCCAGCAACATGCCCTTGAATCTCCACACCTGTTATTGAAGTGACCTCTTCTCATTATGAAATTATCTTGACTCATCCATTTCATAATAGTAACAAATCAGATTTATAATACTATAGTAGGGATATTACATGACCACCATTTCTTTTGTTGTTGTTGATCTCACACCAAAACATATTCTTGAACTAAACGTGATTTTTTTTTTTTTTAAATCTTGCTTTTGCTAGTTGTAGGGTCCATGGGACCACAAGGGCAAGCCAAGGGAGATGTTCTGGTATAACAGAGCCTGTGATGTGAAGGTCTTAGCTACATATTCATAGAACTTTCTTTCCAATGACAGATTACTGCTCTGCTCATCCAACTACCCATCATCTGGGTGGCAGGGCAGTTTAGGAGAAGCAACAGTGACTGACAGAGGTTCTAATGACTATGGCTAGACATTTTTTTCTTCACCAAAGTCTAGTTGCATGTCAAGCCCTACTTTTCAAAGCATTTGGAGAAAGCAACGGAAGAGTTGGAAATTTCTGTTAAATTGATGCTACCAAGACTGATGACAGGAGAAAGTCCAGACAACACTGTGCTCAATGAACCCTTCAGCTTGCTGTGTCCTTCCTTCAGGATCTGTCTCCATATCCAGAGGAGGGCAGAAAGCCTCTGGTGCGTATCTATTAGTCTATCACCATCAGACAAGCCACCAGAACACAACAGTCGGGAAAACAGTAGAGAATGGAGCCACTGCTAGTCCCCAAAAGCATTGTTTCTGCATACTTCACGGTGTTGAAGTGGTTACAATTGTCCAGATGCTGCAGGCTAATGGGAACACTAAAATAGAAAACACAAAATTGATTTAATTACCTTGAGGTGATTAAAGTTTGAAGAAATGGGTTCCTAATGAACCCAGCTATCTTTTTTGAAAGGCAAACTCCAAACTCGAGGTGCTGAGCTCTCTCTCTCTCTCTCTCTCTCTCTCTCTCTCTCTCTCTCTCTCTCTCTTGTGTGGGTGTGTGTGTGTGTGTGTGTGTGTGTGTGTGTGTAGGCATCTGTAGACAGGTTATAAATCTAATCTCCTTTCTGAGTCTTAGTGAATTGTAGACATCTTTCTTACTCATCCCACAGCCACACATCCCGCAGTTCTGCCTCACTAGTCAGAAACTTCTCACCTGGATGCACACACAATAACAGAACTCTAAAGATGAGCTCCGGGAGACAGAAATTCTTACAGTGTCTCTAATGCATACATAAGATTGATGGGGTCAATTGTAGAGGAGCTGTCTCTAATGACTTGAAGACTCCCATGTGTGACACAGCCTAATGTGGTAGAGACCTGAGAGGAAGGAGTCAGTAGGATGAGACGGCCTCCTTATCAATATTGACATAATAGAAAGCTAAGGGAGTGAAGGGGGGAGGGCTGCAGGGAGGGCCAAGAAGCACTGAGGTGGAGATTAAAAACCTAAAACAAAATTGCCATTTTAAATTAGACATTCAGGGACTGAGTGACTTGTAAAATTTAACTCTTTCAAATCTATAAACATTAAGCAACCAAATAAAACCTACCTTCCCTGAAGGGAGTGTTAGATTAGTCAGCAAGTAAATGTGTTCTTGGATGACAAGACACTTCAGTGTGCCTCACAATGGGTGTGTCCGAGTGTGCTGTAACCCATCATTGTCTTGTAAATGCTGAGAGGCTCTGGTCTGGATTCTTTGGTTTGCTAATGTGAAGCTAGTATGCTATCGCCTCCCAGGATGCAAGCTTGGGCTGGAGCCCAGCAAAAGCCCAACTGAGATGAAATAATAATAGAGAATGAATGATCTTAGAGATATGTTTATGTTTCTAATTAAATTGCAAAATCTCTGCTGGAGCAACATTCTAACACCTGTGGAACAGAACACCAGGAAGGAGTCAGACAAAGAATAAAGCAGAATCTAAATAACACTGCATTTACCACCTACTTTAATACTCTGAGGTAGAAAATTCAATGTGCTAAGAATCAGGAGTCATTTGTTCTTTTTTAAATTAATAGCTATAAAAAAAAGCATGAGGATGGACATAGATCTGAGGCCAGCCTGGGCTACAAAGTCCACACCAGCTCTGGATACATAGTGAGACCTTGAAAAAAAATAAAAAACCTGAAAGAGTAAATCTCAGAACTGGCAGGCAATGCTTCCCTGAGTTATCAGTATTTTTTTTTACCTTTGTAAATTGGACTATATCAAGCTACAGTCACTGTTTAATTCCATCTAAGGAAACATACCTGTTAATTGTTTAGATTCTTCAAAATGGAGTACTGGGGATGATAGTTACTGTAAGGGAGAAAACAATAGCTGTGTGAATCTACTTCCAGACCTGTCATTCTCAATGCCAATTGCTCTTATGAGAGATAGAATAAATGCAGAGATTTTAAAAGGGAGAAGATAATTCAATAGGAATTCCAGGCTTATGGCAAGCTAGCATCACACTTGCAGAGGAGGTAGACACTTTTTGGGGTTCCTCTGTGATTATGAATATTTAAACTCACTATTAAGTATCATGATCAAAATGTTTTCTATTCATCACAATTAGGCTGGGAAACATGTGTGTTTTTATAATAGAATTATTAGTATGCTAATGTTGACTTTAATAAGCCACAAACCACTGTATTTTCAAATCTTCTGCTTTTAAGTCACCTGAGGCAGTGATTATACCTTGTCCATGAGAAAGCAATCATCAAATGTTTCCTCACATTACTTCTTGGTAAGTGGAAAATTTCCCCTTGACCCAATGCCACAACAAGGCAAACAACCATGTGGACAGCAGGAAAGATGAAACTTTCTCCAGGCTGAAATAAATTGTTTGTAGTTTTCTGTCTTGGTTTAATCAAGTACAACAGCGAAAAAGAACAATGAACATCGGTAAGAGGGGGTGAGGGTGGGTCACAAGGCTGAGCTCTGCATCACTCAGATGGCCTGGCCTCATCAATATTTATTAAGCTCTCTGAATTTTTTAAATGATCTGTAATTGTTTGTTTCACATAAACTTTTTTGGGAGGATAAACCTGATGGCCTGAGAATGGGATACAATAACTGTTTTACAGGAAAGAATTCACCCCAGCAATCAAGATAGCAGTCAATCTGTATTTTGTCTGAAAGTATGAGTGAAGAAGGATCAGGTTTCCCAGGTCACATGGGTATTGGTAACATCCAGTTTTTCATCTCCTTAGAATGTGATCATCCATTCTTTAATGACTCTTGGCCAGAGGCCACCCTCAGGTCCTTTACAGGGGTCCTTCAGCATCAGGACATGAAAGCAAAGAAGACAACATGGAGTCAATAAGCAAAACAGAAGCCCTGATCCCACTCAACTTACACAGAAATGACAACACAGGATCTTGGCCATGTTCTCAAGTCATCATGACCAAGTTGGCTTTATTCTAGAGATACAGGGATAGTACAGCATGCACAAATTGCTAAGTGTAATATACCATATTAATACATGCCACAATTCAAACTTTAGTCCTCTCCAAAATGAGCAAGCATTCTTAACCAATCAGCCATCTCTCTAGCACAATGAAAACTCTTTAAATTGATACATGCTTTCAGCAAAATGCCAGGATACAAAATTAACATACAATGACACACATACTGAGAAATAAACAATCCCACTCACAAGGGTCTCAAAAATGTACTGTGGCATTTAAGTAAGGCGGTAAAAGGCCTCTAAAATGAAAACTTTTAAACTGAAGAAGTAAATCAAGGAAGACACTAGAAGATGTAAAGACCTTCCTCCCATGCTCATGGATTTGAAAGATTATTATAGTGAAAATGATCATCCTATCTGAAACAATCAATAGATTCATTGCAATCTCATTCAAAGTCTCCATGTCTTTCTTCACTGAAATTGAAAAACAATCTTAAAATGCATATGGAAGAACAAAATGACCTGAATAGCCAAAGCAATCCTGAGCAAAAGGAACAATGTTGCAGGCATGAATATAGCCCATCTCAAATTATATCTGATCTCGAGAGCCATAATAATAAAACCAGAATGGCTTCGGCACAAAAGCAAACAATGGGGTATATATAGTGGAGAAAAGGGCAATTTCAACAAATGATGTTGGTATAATTTAATGTCTCCATATCGACTAATTAAACCATAATCATCACTTTTCTCTCTTCCTCCTGCTCTCTGCTCTGCAGTCGCCATGTGACCTGGGAAGAGGACACTAGCACAAGGCGTCCTCCATAAGATGAGTCTTATAAAATATATAGGCTTATGATAATTAAGACTGAGCTAGCAGAAGAGAAATCCTAGTCATTGGCCAAGCAGCATTTGTACCTAATATAAGTCTCTGTGTGTTACTTGGGACCTTAATGTGGCAGTGGGCAGAATTTGGGTGTCCTGGCGGAAAGCGCCCACATGGGAGCAGGGATCGGGCGGCTTGGTGGAAAGACTTATTTTTACAGAATGGTGTCAGAGGTGGGATCACCTCACACCCCAAGGTTCCCGGAGGAAGCAGGGAACCTGCCACTACATGCCACCAGGCGCCGCAAGCCACAAGCTGCCAGGCACAGAGAGCTGCCTTCCCGAGACTAGTCAAGGAGCGGCAGAACCTGGGCAGTTGGCGGTAATGTTACAAACTTCCATGTAAACTTCACAAAAGCTTAAAAAGAGATTTTAGCAGCAAAAGAACAGAGACTAGCATGGCTTCTTGGTAGCAGCATTTTCTCAGGTGATCTCTGTTTTGCTAGAGACAAGCAGATACTTGAGCAGCTCCAAAGAGAGGTTTCCTGACTCAGTAAAATCAGGAAAAAAAAAAAAAAAAAAAAAGCCACAGGGCTCTCTTTAAAAAAACCCGGCTAGCTCAGTTGGTAGAGCATGAAACTCTTAATCTCAGAGTCAGGTTTGTGCCCCATGCAGCTAGCAGTGGCAGTGACCACATCTACAAGCCGGCAGCATGGTTGATGGCAGTACAGAACAAGTGAGGACGGCTCTCAGAGCTGATGGTAAATGTACCTCCACCATCTTGAAAAGACAGTGGCTAAGAAAGCTGCGCCTTTAATTTGGGAGGTGTTGTTTAACGATTAAAAGACTGGTGACCAGAAAAAGGTAAAGATTTACAGTAAACACAGATCCAGATAAAGAAAACCCTCTAAAGGTTTACAATGTATTTAAAAATATTTGTAGGCTTATGAGAAAAAAATAGAGTAGCTGGGTGGTGGTGGCACACGCCATTAATCCTAGCACTCAGGAGGCAGAGGCAAACAGATCTCTGTGACTTCAAGGCCGGGTGTTGTTGGCACCTGCCTTTAATCCCAGCACTCTAGAAGCAGAGGCAGGCAGATTTCCACAGAAAAATCCTGTCTCATAAAAGGAAAAATATAAAATTAAAAGAAATAGAATAATATAAAAGCCAATAAAGATGGAAAATACAGAGTCTGGATAGTATAAGCTATATTGCTGTCTTTAAATTGTTTAATTGCTAAGGAAAGAGCAAAAGCTGCTATACATTTTATTATCAATGCTGCTAAGTTAATCTAACTCATATATTTTAAAAATGCTTTGACTTCAAAATTTAAGTCTAACGACAGACTACTTGGGAAAAAATTCCTTGCTTGTGTTTTCACAGAAAAGGAAAAGCTGTGGATTCCTTCCAGACTAATATGGTTTGATCAAGCAAGATCCCCCACCCCCACCCCCAGAAGCAGTGGCCCAACTGATCCTACATCCAAAACAGCTGAGATGATGCAGTCATAGACCACTACAGCCAGGATTTCTGCGTTTTCTCAGGATCCCATGACATCGCCTCCCAACCAGCAGGAAGTATTTTGGAATGAACGACTCCCAATTTCCCAAATATGGTTTATAAATATTTGTTTTCATTTAAATGGTGTTGGTTATAAATGGTAATGATCATAGTCAATCTCTTTTTAAAGGAAAAAAGGGGGGATAGGATATGGAGATGAATATTTTACATCGTTATGGATTTTCATTTATTGATACAAATTTAAGGTCAATTTTGTGATATGTATATGTCTCCTCTTGTTTAGGTATTGTGTTTATATGGATATTTTAAAATGTAATGCATAATTAAAAACAGACTATATTGTCACCTATAATAGTCAAAACTTACAGTTAGGTTAGTTAGGTTTTCTAGATATACAAAGATATATTTGAGATGGATATTCTTCAGACTGTTCAAAGACCTACAGAATACATGGCATTTAAATGGTTTAGGGTTTTTCTTGACAGTAAGACACAACTGCTCCTGGCACACCAATTACCTCAGAAAGGAGGATGGGCATAGAAGAAACTCGTTATGAAGTTTGCCTTCAACATGGCAAGATTAGCCATTTGGGCAAGAAACTGCACTTTCCTGGACTGTTTGTTGCTGTATAAACTGGATATGCAGGACTCACAAGAAAGTGACTGCTGAACTTACAAAACAAGACAGTACTAAAGGGTTCCTGTTAAAATGAAGAAGTGTGCCAGACACACTGTGGCCTATAGGCTGAAGATGGATGCCCCAACATTACAGAGGAACTTTGGGTGACTGTTCAGGCAGCGAGATGTCTCTGTCAGTTCTAGAGTTTATAAATTATCCTTCTGTAGTCTTTGATAGAGTTGAAAACAGATAGTTATGGTTATAGTTTTCTTCAGTTATTATAGAAGATAAGCTACCCTTCTTTTTATTTAGACAGAAAAGAGGAGATGATGGGGGAAGTGCTTCTGTGTATGTGTTTGTGTTAGTGGATGATAAATAAAGTACTGTTTGGCCAATGAGGCAGCAAGTTAGGCAGGACTAGGAGTCAAGAAGGATTCTGGGAAATGTAGTAAAGAAGTAGTGATCCAGGCAGGAAGTGAAATAGCAGGGAGACTCATATATAAGCAAGGGCAAGAAGGACCTTGTTCCTTTCTCCCTTCCTCCTGCTCTCTGTTCTGCAGTCGCCATGTGGCCTCCAGGAAGACAAGATACATTCTGCCTGCGTCCTCCATGAGATAAGTGTGATGATTATGACTGATAATTAAGACTGAGCTAGCATATGAGAAATCCTAGTCATTGGCCAAGCAGCATTTGTACCAAAATAAATAAATAAATAAATAAATAAATAAATAAACCATACTCATATCTCATTCTGCACAAAAGTCAAATCCAAATGGGTAAAGGATCTGGACATAGATTTGAAACACTGAAGCTGATGGAAGACAAGGGAGGGAGTAAACTACAAGTTATGTGTACAGGTAAAGACTTTCTCAACAAGATTCAGATTGCACAGGAAATAAGTCCAACAGCTGACCAATAGGAATTGACAAAATTTAAGACCTTCTGTGCAGCAAAGGAAATGGCAACCAAGTAAATAGGTCTGCAAAATGGGAGAAAATCTTTGCTAGATATCCATCTGACACAGGACTAATATACAGGCTATACAAAGAACTCAAAACACTAAATATCAAGAAATCAAATGCCTCAATTAAAAAATGACCTTTGGAACCTTACTATGATACAATATGATAATTGCATTTTGTTCTTTTACATGTGGCTATCCGGTTTTCCCAACACTGTTTGTTGAAGATGTTGTCCTTTTTCCAGTGTATATTGTTGACATCTTTATCATATTTAGGTGGCTGTAGGAATGTGGGCTTATATGATATGTGGGTCCTCAGCTTATTTGGTTGATCAATGTGTCTGTCGTTATCCCGGTACCATGCTATGTTTATTGCTACACTCCTCTAGTTATCACTTAAAATCTGGGATGGTAATACCTTCAGCAGCCTATTCATATCATGAGGATATCACAAAGATTTCTTATTGTTGAATTTTTTTTTTTTTTTTTTTTTTTTTGGTTTTTCGAGACAGGGTTTATTTCTCTAAATGTAGCTTTGAAGCCTATCCTGGCACTCACTCTGGAGACCAGGCTGGCCTCGAACTCACAGAGACCTGCCTGCCTCTGCCTCCCGAGTGCTGGGATTAAAGGTGTGTGCCACCAATGCCCAACCTTGTTGAACATTTTTTTATTACTCTCCTGAGTCTTTCATGTTTCCGTATAAAATTAAAGTTTTTCTTTTATTATTATTATTTCCATGAAGAATTGCACTTGAATTTTGAAAGGATTACATTGAATCTATAGGGTAGCTATTGGTAGGATGGTCTTTTCCACAATATTAATCCTGACAATTCATGTTAGGTCTTTCCATCTTTTGGTATCATGTTCAATTTCTTTCTTCAACATCTTAAAGTTTTTATTATAAAACTCTTTCCCTTGTTTGGTTAGAGTATTTGTTTGTTTCTTTGTTTGTTTTTGAGGCAATTATGATTGGCATTATTTCTTTGATTTCCTTCTTAGTGTGTTTGTTATTTGTATATAGGAACGGTACTGGTTTTTATGTGTCAGTTTCATATCCTGCTTTTTTCTGAGTGTGGCAGCCTTAAAGAAAAACCAGCTGGGCTGTGGTGGCACACACCTTTGATCCCAGCACTTGCAGGGCAGAGGCAGGCACAGGCGGATCTCTGTGAGTTTGAGACCAGGTTGGTCTAGTCTACAAGAGCTAGTTCCAGGACAGCCTTCAAAAGCCACAGAGAAACCCTGTCTTGAAAAACTAAAAAAAACAAAAAACCCCAAAACCAAAAAACCAAAAAAAAAACCCCAAACAAACAAAAAAGAAAGAAAGAAAAACCAATTATTACATTTATAGAAAAGTTAATTAGTTCTAAATCATTGTAATATAAAGTGGGAAATTACCAATACAGAGCCAAGTAGAAATACAAGGGTATTTAATAGGTAAAAGCCTTACTTACAGAGCGACCTAGCCATCCAGCACAGCAGCAGTCAGCAGCAGTCTGTACATCAAGCCGAAAAGTGAAACCAAAAGTGCCCAGCCACCTGACTCTCCTCTACTTCACCCTGACCACGCCCTCATAGGCGTGGTCAGGCAGACCTGTAGCCAGCCCCTAAGTAGGCGTGGCTACAGGTTCCCCTACAGTATTAAGCAAGTAAGCAAGAAAATGTCAAAATTTGGCATAGGAATAGGCAATTACTTTGACAAGGACTCCATAGGTCAGACAACAACAGCAAGAATTCAAAAAGACGCATTACATCAAACTGAAAAGTTTCTAAAAAGAAGACAACATAGTAAAGAATCACCAAAACAAAAGAAAATCTTTGCTATTTATTCACCTGATATGTTTATATCATGAATATATGAAGTATTCAAAAATTAAACATCAAAAGAACAAATAATCCAATTAACTAAACAGTTTCCAAAGAATGAAAACTGTCAATAACACATGACAAAGATATTCAACCTCTTTAACCACCAGAGAAAGGGAAACTAAAATAACATTGAAAATTAATCTTACCCAATTCAGAATGGCTCTCACTAAAAAAGTAAACAGAGCAATTCAGGTGAAGAAACAATGAAGTAAAAGGAACCCTCATTCATGGCAGTTAGGAATGTACATTAGTGTGGCCACTTTAGAAATCAGTAAGGGTATTGATTCCTCAAACCAAATGCAAACATGACACTCACCTGCTGCTTCAAATAACACTAAAGGCCTTGCCAAAAGACTGCAGAACACAGAGCAACAGCTACACATGTAAACCTCAGAGATTACAACATCATAAAACCCATATATGCATGAGTCACACCAAATCCCAGAATGAAGAGAGGAATTAGGCAAACCTTTTACTCAGACATAGAGCAAATCATAGCAAATTTCCTCCTCCTGGGAGAGGGAAAGACACTTTTCTTTCTAAATATATAGCCCCTAGTAAATTGACCAATTTCCAGCGAAAGACCATATATCCAGGAACATTTGACTACCACAAATTGCTATTTATTTATTTATTTTTAGACACAAAAATTAAATGAGGACAGATCTGGGAAGATTTGGGAGAGGGGTTTATGATCAAAACACAAAATTAAAAGCCTCAAAGAACTAACTAAAAACAGAAATACTACCCAATCCTTCTCTGAGTAGGTGAAAAAAAAATCCATCTTTTTATCTTGTGGTGAAATTTACTTTTTCCTTGAATAAAATTTCACTTCTACTACTCTGAGAGAGGGAGAGAAGAATGATGAAAATGAGGGAGAGAGAGAGAGAGAGAGAGAAAGGAGAAAGAGAGAGAGAGAGAATACTGTCATACTTCTAGACATAAACATGAAGAAATATAAGTTGCCATGCCTTCAAGTTATTCACATGCCTATTTTTAATGGCACTGTTTCCACATATACACATGTGTCTCTCTCTATATATATATGTGTGTACATACATATGTATATACATATGTAATAGAATATCATTCAGCTATAAAGAATACAATTGTCCCATTGGTAGGAATAATGAATTAACTGGAAATCATTAAGTGAAATAAACCAAACTCCAAAAGGCAAATACCATGTACTCTCTTATTAAGTCTAAGAAAAGAAAACAAGGGACTTTAGAGAAGATGAAGAGAAGAAAAGGTAAGCAGAATAAATTTGATACATGAAAGTGCTATAATGAAATCCATAATTTTGTATGATTAATTTATACTCATAAAATGTTTTAAATCTCAAACTGGAATAAAAAGCTTTCTGAAGTTAAAAAAAAATGGTGTGATAAAATATCTACTCCAGAATGTGCTTAATGGACGATACTTGAATAGATTATCTCTGAAGAATGGAAACAATAATGTATGCTCTGGCCCCTTCTTCAGCGTCATGTGACCAGAACAGTAAGTGTCTCAGACATTGCAATGAAGCCAGCTTCTTAGCAAGGGTGCTGCCCCTGCTTTGGGCTGGGTAAGGCCATGCTACAGGAGTCTACTCTATTTCCTATGTAGTGTTAAGCAGGTTTCCTGATCTACCGACTGCCATAGGGCAATTTTCAAGTGGCTACAAACCCCCACAATTAGTAACTGACAATGTCTTTTGGGGATTTGAATTGTTAAACATTGAGATGATACACACATTACAATCTGAGGATAAGAAACATAACCATCTCCATTTGGCACACAGTATGTTCCTCTGCATTTTCAAAATCCTCAAGAATGTTTACAAAAAATGACTGATGAATTTAGTAAGACCACTTGAAACAAGATAAAAATTCAATTGTGTCTGTCATATATAATTAGGGGTTGAAATTAGAGCAATTCTCTCAACATAAAACAAAATTGTAAAATCATTACTAATGTATTGATTTAACTAAGATGTGAGAGTTTTATATGCAGACTATTGCTGAGTTCTCATGGAGAATATTGCCAATAGATATTACATAACCAAACAAGTGGAGAGATGCACCATGCTCATTATTTAGAATGGAGGAAACCACTCATTTCCATTATAGAAGAAGTTGTATTATCTAGTAAGAAATAGTAAGCCTTTCACTATACTACTATCAGAAAAATAGAGAGGAAGGAGAAAGAGAAATGAGAGGAGAGGAAGGAAGGGAAAGGAGGGAGGGAGAAAGAGAGGAAGGAAGAAAGGTTGTATTTATATAAGACACTAGAAACCTTCAACTTCGCTGAATGATAAAACGCAGGTGAAGTGCTAAATATTGCACCTGGCACACAACTGGCATGACACAAACCCTATTCTCAGCAGTGCAGACACAGGTAATGGTACTCCTAATAGGTAATTGGGTTGTATAGCTTTATGCGTGATTACATTCTATCTGTCTCTTTCAGCATTTGCTTTCCCACTCAAAAGTGACAGTAATGTTTCCTTAATTGGGTTAGTTGAGGCTTTTCCTAAATCTGAGCAGACAGGCTCTTCTCACCCTCTGCACCAACTTGGAACCATGAACTACAGCTGACTTAACCACTGTGATCAAACAAATCGACTGTCTCAGCTTTCTTGAATCTATAGTTCATTTTTCTCAAAACTTTAAAGATGAATATCATTAAAAAAATCAAACATTGTTGTCTTTGTCACTATTTGTGGCTGTTAAGGTCCTTTAACAAAAAATAAAAAGAACTCAGTGTTGGGCCTAAAAGGCCTAGTGGAATTTCCTGAGCCTGGCTAAAGTTTGGCGACCTGACTCAGCAAAACTGCCTCTGCCCTGGTGAGATATTACTGGCCCTTACACCTCACCGCATCCTGAGGTACCTACCCACTTTCTCAGCTCTATATAAGCACATGCCTGTTACAATAAAGTGAGACTCTACTTTGACAGGTCTCCACGACTCAGAGTGGATTCCTCTGGTGACTAGGAGGCAGGTCTTAGTGTTGACACTCACCATCCCGCCAGCCCTTCCCACAGCCCTGACTGCAGGAGGCCCTGGCAGAGTGGCACCCGAACAGGGACCCTGGCAGCTCAGTATGTGGTTGTCACAAATCAGAAACAAGATTCTGAAGAATGAGGGGATTGAAATGATATTCCAATACAACAAACCTACAACTCATATGTGCATAAGTCAGACTAAACAAGGAAATGCACTTCACATTAACAAAATGTCTATGACTAAGAACCCAGAGCACGCAGCCCATCTTTAAGGTTTTCTTTCTCTGAAGACAGGTCCATGTCAGCTGTGGCATTTGCTACCATGTAACAGAGCAGATCTTCTGTGGGTCTGACCATATAAGCATGAATTTCCCATCTTGCAGATTTTCCACATGTACTGCTGAGGTAATGAGCAATTTCAGTATGGAAAAGCAAAGAGAAATGATACAGTTCTAATTAGATCCATAGATGTGCTGACACTTGGACAATGATCAAGAATTCTGTCTTCCTGGCCCTTCCCTGGGACCTCTTTTGACCTGCTCAAGGAAACAAAGAACAAGCAACAACTGGTTAATTTTAGAACATAACTTATTATGTGATTATAAGTCAAGGCAGGAATGATAAGCAATTCCAGGGTTAGAGACAGTGGCAAGAGGAGAATCTGATGACGTAAGTGTCTATGACGTAGCTTTGAACCTCCATAGCCTCATCAAGTCTGCTACCAATAACTGCAAGTGGGAAGCAAACAAGCCACAAACCAGAGCCATAGCAGCCAGCCACAAAGTACCTAATTTTATTATGTAGGCATTGAACACCAGTGTCTGTGGTGAGCTGCTAATGAAATCCCCTTCTCTTGGTGTCAAATAAAAATTCACAGCCAGAAGCCACACATAATGCTTATTGCCGTGAAAGCATGCATTATTTTTCTATTAAAACTGTCTCAACGGTGGGCCTCGAACAGACAAGTTCCTTGTGGCCAGAAATGCTTCAAGCATCATAGTTCCCTTTGATGTTTGAACATTTCAGGTTAGGTCAGAGGTGGGAACAAACAGCTGATCTGTCTCCCAGCAGGGCCCAATGAACAGTATGACGATCAGAGGAGAAAACATGAATTTATGCTTTTTGTATTTCAAATTTTGAGAGAAAGGACCCTTAAATTTCAAAAGCCATGAACACAAGAACTAAGCTATTTTTTCTTTTTTTAAAGAGTGATAGCTTTGACCTCATTCTGTTAAGAATAAATATATTGCCATGGCATATTGCTGCACAACTTGCCTGGGAGAATGTTTGAATTTGTTGATATGAAAAAGACTTCATACACACTCATGCATTATAATGTTCTCCTAAGGAATGAGCAGCTGCTGTTGAGGCCTCAAACACGAAGTATCACAGGCTGGCACCTGAAAAAGACAACAGCTCAATGTGGTTAGTGCATATAGAAAGACCTGGGCAAGGTCCCTGCAGAGAAATCCGATTTACATACAAGATGGTCTATTTTTCCCTGCTTCTGTATGGCAACTATACATAGACTTCAGTGTAATTTTGTGAGTAGTTGTATTGGGCAATTTAATGTGGGAAGCAACCATAATAACTCAGAGCCCTGGCTGACAGAAAATCAATTTGCTATTAATAATGATAGCAATG